CTCTAGTAAGATTTATTCTTAAATATGTCATTCATCTTTTGGGTGGCTATTGTAAATGGTTATGTTTTCTTAATTTCCTTTTCAGAGCTGTCTTTATCAGTATAGAGGAATACAACTGATTTTTGTATATCGATCGTGTATTCTGCCACTTTGCTGAATCTTTCAGTGAGTTCCAATAATCTTCCGAGTCTCTGGGGTTTTTTATGTCTAGTATCATTTGAATTGCTGATCTTGAGGTTAGCAGCCCAACTTGTAACTGCTATGCTATGAGAGCACCCTATAGGATCATATCATATGCAGATAGAGTTTTACTTCTTCTTTGTCAATTTTGTTGTTATTGTTGTTAAGTGCTGTTGAATTGGATCCAGTTAATAGTGATTTCCAAGGAGCAGCTGGTGAGTTTGAATCATTGACCTTGTGGTCCCTTGTGCTTATCTTACAGTGCTACAGCAATTTGGATACATTTAATTTCCCTTTCTTGCTTTATAGCTCTGGCTAAGACTTCCAGCACAATATTGAATAGGAGTAGTGATAAAGGGTATCTTTGTCTGGTTCCTGTTCACAAGGGAAATGCTTTCAGTTTCTCTCCAGAGTGATGTTGGATGTTGGCTTTTTATGGTGGTGGTGGTTGTATGCTATGGAGTTGGTTCTGACTCATAGCGACCCTGCATAGGGTTTCCAAGGCTGTAAATCTTTACAGGAGCTAAAAGCCTCATTTTTCTTCCATGGAACAACTGGTAGTTTTGAACTGCTGACCTTTAGGTTAGCAGCCTGACTTGTAACCATTATGCTACCAGAGCTCCTTATGTTGTTAAGTTCCCTCAAGTCAATTCTGACTCATAGCGACCCCATAGAGGGTTTCCAAGGAGTGACTGGTGAGCTTGAACCACCGACCTTGCAGTTCAAATGACTTTGCAGTTTGACACATTAGCTTACAGCGCCACACCAGGACTCCTTATAGATGCCCTTAATTATATTGAGGAATTTTCCTTTTACTCCCTTTTTTTTTTTGAGTATTTAAATCAGGAATGGGTGTTGGAGTTATTCTAGTACCAGCAACTTTTAAGCATTGTGTTATTTCATTTCCATGTATTTGATTTTTTTCTTTGATCTTCCTACTGTTGATTTCTACTTTCATAGTATTGAGATATGAGAAGATGCTTTGTAGTATTTTGATATTTCTTAATTTATTGAGGCTTGTTTTATGGCTTAACAGATGGTCTGTTCTGGAGAAAGTTCCTTGTACACTGGAAAAGAAAATATACTGTCCTGTTGTTGGTTGAGTGTTCTGTCTATGAGGTCAAGTTGGTGTTGTTTACTTCCTCTGGGTCTTTGTTGATTTTCTTTCTAGTTGTTCTGTCCTTCATCAAAAGTGGTGTATTAAAATCTCCTGGTGTGGCATTGTAGAATCAGCACTGGACTGTGACCCATAGGTCGGCAGTGCAAACCCACCAGCTGCTTCTTGGAAACCCTATACAGGGTCGCTATGAATCGGAACTGACTCGATGGCACTTGACAGCAACAAAAAACCCAGCTATTATTTGAGAGTTGTCTATGTCTTTCTTCAGATCTATTAGAGTTTGATTTATGTATTTTGAAGTACTTTTATTGGGAGCATAAATAATTATTATGATTATGTTTCTTGTTCAGTTGATATAATGTCCTTCTTTGTCCCTTATGCTAGTTTTTGCCTTAAAGCATATTTTATCAGAGATTAATATTGTCTATCTTGCTTGGTTTTTTTTTTACTCTTAGCTTGATATATTTTCCCATCTTTTGATTTTTAGTCTATTTTTGTCTTTGTGCGTAAGTTGTGTCTCCTGTAGACAGCATATTGAAGGTTCCTGTTTTCCTGTCCATTCTGCTACTCTCTGTCTTGACTGGTGCATTTAATTCATTTACATTCAGTGTAATTGTCGATATGTATAAATTGATTGCTTTTACTTTTCTGTGTGTGTGTGGTGTTGCTAATTTGTTCCACATAAATTTCTGCACTGAGCTCATTTTGTTTGTAGGTTTTCTTTCATTTTCATTTCTCTTGTGTTAACGTTTACTAAATGTTTCTGATATTCTTTTTTATTTTGATGTGATGGTGCATTCATTTTCTTTGAAGTTACCCTGTAATTAATTTCTTCTCCATTTAAAGCAGTCTGTTTTATCTCAAAATTGACTTGACTTCTTCCCCATTTGGAGGTTCTTGTTGTTGTTATGTGCCGTGGATTCGGTTCTGACTCATAGTGACCTTGTACAAGGTTTCTGAGGCTGTTCTATAGCGACACTATTTCTTCTTTTTGCTTTGTCGTTGACTTTATTATAAAACTGATATCTCTGGTTCCCTATTTTCAGTCTTGTAGGTTTTATTTTACTTTGGCTATTACTATATCCAGGAGTCCTGGTGTGGCGCTGTGAGCTAATGCGTCAGACTGTAAAGTCATTTGAACTGCAAGGTCGGTGGTTCAAGCTCACCAGTTGCTCCTTGGAAACCCTCTACAGGGTCGCTATGGGTCAGAATCAACTTGAAGGCACTTTTAACAACAACATTACTATATCTGGATTAAGTTCTGGGTGGTGTTGTCATGTATGCTAATCTCAGATTGTACAACTTTATTTTTAATATAGTATTACCACCAGCTGTTGTCAAATTGGTTCCAACTCATGACAACCCCATGTGTGTCAGAGTAGAGCTTTGTTTGCGTCTTTGAGTTTTAATGTCTGTTGTTGTTATTAGGTGTCTTCAATTCAGTTCTGACTCATAGTGACCTCATGCCCAACAGAACAAAACACTGTCTGATCCTGCGCCATCCTCACAGCCATTGTTAAGCATGAGCTTAACTCATTACTACTGCCACTGTGCCAATCCATTGGGGGGGGTCTTACTCTTTTTCACTGATGCCCCACTTTGCCAAGTATGATATCCTTCTCCAGGGAATGGTCCATTCTTATAATATGTCCAAAGTATGAGAGTGCAAGTCTTGCCATCTTGACTTCTAAGGAGCATTCTGGTGTACTTCTTCCAATACAGATTTGTTTGTTCTTCTAACAGTCCATGACACTTTAAATATTCTTTTTTAAACTATAACTCAAAATGCATCAATTCTTCTATGGTCTTCCTTATTCACTGTCCAACTTTCACATGTATTTGAGGCTATTGAAAGTACCACAGCTTGAGTCAGATGCACCTTAGTCCTCAAACTGACACCTTTGCTCTTGAACACATCAAGAAGGTCTTGTGAAGCCTATTTGCCTACTGTCGCATTTCCTTTGATTTTTTGACTGCTGTTTCCATGAGTGTTGATAGCGAATCCAAGCAAAATGAAGTCTTTGACAACTTTAATCCTTTCTCCATTTATCATGTTATTTATTGGTCCAGTGGTAAGGATTTTATTTCCTTGACATTGAAGTGCAACCCATATAGAAGGCTGTGGTCCTTGATTTTCATCAGTAAGTATTTTAAGTCCTCTTCGCTTTCAGCAAGCAAGGTTGTATCATCTGCATATTGCATATTGTCAATGAGTCATCCTCCAATCCTGATGCTATGTTCTTCTTCATATAATCCAGCTTCTCAAATTACTTACTCAGCATGCAGACTGAGTAAGTGTGGTGAAAGAACACAGCCCTGGTGCCCACCTTTCCTAATTTTACATCATTTGGTGTTGCACTTCATTGTCAAGAAAACAAAATTCCCAGAGCCTTCAGAGCACCTTATACTTCTTCCTTGAAAGATCATGGGCTCTTGATCATATGTTACCTCTTGAAATGGTTGAATATCCTCATCATTTGTCATTCCCAACATAGTAAACCATGTGATTGTCACATTCACAATAGCCAATGCCAGTCTGTTTCTGCTTGCTAATCTCTAGGATATCAATGTTTATGCATTCCATTTCATTTTTGACAACTTCTAATTTTCCTATAGTCCTACTTCATACATTCCATGTTCCAATTATTAATGGATGTTTGAAGCTGTTTCTCCTTATTTTGAGTTGTGCCCCATCAGCAAATGAAGGTCCCAAAAGCTTTACATTCACATCATCATAGTCAGCTCTACTTTGAGGAGACAGCTGCTCCCCAGTTGCATTTTGAGCACCTTCTTACCTGACAGACTCCTCTTCTGGCACTGTGTCTGACAATAATACTCTGGTGCTGTTCACGTTTCACTTGTCAACACTCTGCTACTATCTGGCAGTATTCCTCTGCTATTCAGAAGGTATTCAGTGGCTAAACATTCAGAAGTCTGTCTTTCCTTTTTCCTAGTCTGTCTTAGTCCGGAACCTCATCTCATCTCAAAGCTGTCCACCACGGGTTTACCCTGCTGCTATTTAAAATACTAGTGGCATAGCTTCCAGCATCACAGCAAAATACAAGTCACCCCAGTATGACAGACTGACAGACGAGTGGTGGTTCAATGCTGTGAACTTTTGGAAATAGATTGCCGGGCCTTCGGAGGTTCCTCTAAGTGAATGTGAACTGCCAACCCTTTGGTTATTAGCTGAATACGTAACCATTTGTGCCCTTCAGGGACTCTGTTGTTGTTGTTGTTGTTGTCATGTGCCGTGGAGTTGGTTCCGACTCTGTAACATTACTAAATGCATAGTGTTTTCCTGTTTTTTCCCGTTTGCTTGCTTATTGTCTGCTTGCTTTCTCACTGGAGTTGGGTTATACCTCTATTTCTACTGTATCCTAAAGGATTCCTACTTGTCCTGTAGGTTAGGCATTTGGGCTGCAAGGTAAGTGGTTCAAACCCATCAGTCACTCAGAAGGAGAAAGATGACGCTATCTAGTCCCATACAGATTTGTAGTCTCAGAAGCCCTCTGAAACAGTTCTACGGTGCCCTACAGGGTGGCTGTGAGTCAGAGTGGCCTCAGTGATGGTGAGTATGAGCTGTATCCTGAGGGTTTAGAATGGCACTCGGCATACTGTAGATGAATGAATAAGTAACCCAACCCCTGACCCAGAAGCTCTACAGTCGCTTCTAATGGTTCTCTTGCCCTTGTTTTAGCTCAAGACCTGTAGTTCATCTGAAGGTGACCATGAAATTCACGCCTCAGGAACTGCCCATTCGCTTCAATGGCACAGTGAATGCAACTTTGTGCTTTGAAATCAGCTCTGGGACCCCAGCTACCAAGACAGGTAATAGACAGCCTAGCTGACCCAACCATGTGTTGTGGTCATCCCTTGTTGGGTTCTATAGTGGGCAGAGAATGAGGACTGTGTATGTGTGGGGTGGGTGGTTGGTATGAGATCTTGGTACTTAAAATCGTATGATTAGAGGGTAGATATTTCAATACTACAAAAAGCAACCATTAAGTTAGTTCTGAATCATAGCAACCCTGTATCCAACAGAATGAAATACTGTCAAGTCCTGTTCAGTGTGCGCTGCCTCAAAAAAGACCACACTCTGAGGAGATTTATCTGTTGGGAACAGGGCCATTGGATCACTTCCTTAGGGTTGAAGGGTTGAGCTTCTGAAAGAAGATTCAGAAAAAGGCTAGCATTTCTGCCCACAAGTGTGCATGTGTGGGTAGGCGTTTCTGAAGTGCCTTTCTTCCATCTTACTCATGTACATCTATCTTCCTCCCCACCTCATCTATTCTCCCTGGCCCAGGAGGCCTTTGGTAAATTGCCAGAGGCCTGACTTCCCTGCCTGCCCCTTACCTGACACTGGCTGGAGTCGGTTTCCTGCAGGCTGAGGCATGGCTTTCACAGCTCAGGAATTTACTGGCAGCCCAAGGGTTCGAATCCCTCAACAACAGTCCCCAAGGCTTAGTCTCTCAGTAAACTCTCCCGAGATGTCTCTCTACTTCCCACAGTTCAGAGAGTGCTCTCCTGGGGTGGCTGATTGACCTCAGAAGGAGGCCATTGTTAAATTGGGGAGGGATGCTAGAAAAATGGCAGACCTATCACAGGATCGGTGGTAGTTCAGACCCACCAGCCACTCCTCAGAAGCCCACTACAGAGCTGCTATGAATCAGACCAGACTTGATGACAACAGCATCCATTCCAGCTGCAGAGGCACGAGCCTGAACAGCAGCTGCTGAGTGTCTTTGTGATGCTGAACAGATGTCTTGCCCTCTCCGTTTGGTTCCCTGCTTCTGGCTCTGCTACCTGTAGGTCTTACTCTATGGCTTCTCTTTCTGTGCTCTTCCTCCCCTTGGTTTCTTTCCTCACTCTTCGCCTCCTCCCCAAATGAAGGCTGACTCAGCCCTGGAATGTGTATGAGGGACGCAAACTAGGTACTAGAGACCAAGAGGAGAAGAAACTCAGGAGCCCCGCCCCAGGGAAGCGGCTGTGCAGGAACCTCAGCCTGGGGTTTACCTATCCAAGCCTCATCAGGAAGGTTTTAGAGAGACATCTCTTTGCAGGCCTCCAAGGGACATCTCTCAACTTCACGTTGGACGTGGATGTGATGAAGCACAGGAGAAGGCTGAAGTATTCAGATGGCAAGACTTCTCTGAGCCTCCTTCGGGAATGGCCCAAGGAATCACAACTCTGTGAGCCCCTCAAGTTCCACCCTGTGGAAGGGGAGGTAAGTGGAGGAGTTTAAAAGGGAGTCCAGAGAGAGTGTGTATCACTGGGAAAAGATTCAAGGTGTGTGCAAAGAAGAACGTATAGCTGCATCTGTCATCAAGGCAGGGAAAATCATGCCACTAGATCAAGAGCCATGTAGTGACCTGAGAGATGGAGAGTGAGTGCAGAAATCCAGATGAAAGAAATGGGATGAAACGGAACACCTGCCCTTGAGACTCCTGAAATGTTCTAATTGCTGGCGTTCTTCTTAGTAATAAATCAGGAATCACATGTGTGCCTCCCTCCTGGGTTCACCTGACAAGAGTAGTGGGACAGAGAGCCCCCATGAGGGGAAACATTGGAAAATGTCAACAAATAAAAGGAAGAAAGAGAAGGGCACGAGTTATCATTTAGAGAGAGTTACTCCCGACAAAAGTGCCCAGGACTCAGAACCTAACAGGACCTAGGAAATGGACCTATAAACACCATACGTTCCAATAAGCAAAGCTCATGAAATATGCCTCTTATTTTACATCTGAATGTATTAATTGGGTTAAGAAAGAGTGGCCTTCCATAGCTCCATTTTCCACCAGACAGTCATGCTCACGTACTTGCATATGTTCCGGCCTCATATCTTGATAAGGCTGCCTTGAGCAAAGAGAATGGCAAATGGCATTTGAATGAGCCCCTCCCTCTTTCCGGTTTTTACTTCTCTCCTATGTCCTCCATGCTGCCTAGAGAAAGCTCTTTGTAAAACACACATGGGACCGTGGCTCTTCTCTTCAGTGGCTCCCACTTGCCCTATGAATAAAGCCCAGGCCAGTTCTTAACTCCTGATGGGCAGAACCCCTTTGTGATTCGGAGAGGAACCATAAGAATATGATTTTTGAGGGCATAGCAGATCAAGGAAAACGTTTTTTGAAATCTCTTAGAAACTTACTTGAAGGAAGTTTTCTTTCAGCCTGACTTATTTGGAAGATGCATAGTGTTTCTTTTCTGACTCATCACTTGCCTTGTTTACTTGTTATGACTGAATCCAAGCTAAAAGTGTTTTCCTTGCCATCTTCTCCCTGTTTCCAACGCTGCCTTCCTTGGTGGCCCTGCAGCTCATTGAAGACTACTTCTTCAACATCCATTTCAACATCAGCTACCAACTCAAGACCCCCAAGGCCATCAGGAACTATGCCCATTCCATCCTGGACCACTACACTGAGCCCTCTGCCATCTTCCAGGTGAGTGTGTCCTGGGTATCTTTTTAATTACTCGAGGACACTTAACAACAAAAACAGCAATCTCCTATTCACTAAGCCTTGATTTAATTTGTTCTCCCAGTCTTTTCTGAATCATCTAACTTGTTATCAACACCAAAAAGAAACAGCCTTTAAATAAAGTATGTCCATCTAGGAAATGAAGATGACTAGGACCCAACCCTCTGGGGAGCCATCCTTGTATAAAACACCTACTCCCTAACTTAAAAAATGTTAGACAGTACACAGGTCCCTCACTGTGTAGGTGGGGAAACTGAGTCCCAGAGAAGCTGTTTACTTGTCCAGGGCCTCTCTGATGGGTAACACAGGTTGTGTGCAGGGTTAGTTCTTTAATGTTCACAAAAAAAGTGCTTGCTACATACTTAACCAAGTGTATGGATGTACTAGGATCTGGACTCGGCAGGGATCTGTGGTGGCAGTGTGGTGTGGGTCCCATGTGGATGCTGGACTGGAGCTGTCTTGCCCTGCACTGCAAAGAGGATGTCCTTCGGTGCACCTGCCTACCAGGGCCTTGCCCAGGCCTGGAGGCTGACTGTCTGGCCCCACCAAACTCACCCTAAGCCTTTGTCCTGGGATTCATAATCGTAGCTAAGACAGGCAGCTAGTGTCACAAGAAACTTTATTCATAATTAAGGGAAATCAGATGGGGGAAAGAATGTTGCTGATCCTGTGATTTCCCCCACCCTGGCCTCTGGTCTACTCTAGTAGTCTCCATTTCTACCTTCTTACAGAGTCTAGAAAACCCAGCAAGAACAAACAAGTGATGTGAGCATTAAAAAGCAATAATTGCAGTCATTTGGAATGAATTGAGTCTCAAAAAAAAAAAAAAGCCAAAGGTAGTTCCTGCTGGCACAGAACACTTTTGGGTAACAAAAAGTATGCATTTGAATACCTGCTTTCCAACACCTAATATACCAGTCACAATGTTGCTGAGTGCTGTTGAGGCGATTCTGCCTCAAAGTGGCTCTGGGTAGGGTTTCCCAGGTTGTCAATCTCTACGGGAGCAGAAAGCGTCATCTTTCTCCCCAGGAGTGGCTAGTAGATTCCAACTGCTGACCTTGGGGTTAGCAGGCCAACATGTAACCCACTATGCCACAAGGGCACCCCAGTCCCAGTGTTATGAAGCAATAGGAGAACAACATAATCCAGGTGACTGCTCCCGTTGCTCATCTGCCCAGGAAGGAGAATCAGGTTCCCTGTGAGTGAAGATGATCATCTTCATTTCTTAGGTGAAGAGGTTTTATTTTAAGGCTGTTTCTTTTGGTGCTGACAGCAGGCTAGATGATTCAGAAGAGATTGGGAGAACTAATGAAATCAAGTTTTAGTTAACAGGAGATTGGTGTTTTTGTTGTTGTTAAGTGCCGTGGAGTCAGTTCCGACTCACAGTGACTCTGTAAAAGGTTCTAAAGCTGTAAATCTGTGGGAGCAGAACGCCTCAGCTTTCTCCGCGGAACAGCTGGTAGGCTTGAGTCGCCAAGCTTGTGGTTAGCAGTCCACAAACTCCCGGTAAGGAGATTGTCACAGATTATATATATTCTGTTTTAAAGGTGTTTTATTTAGAAATATGTGATTTACTGAAAAGCTACAAGGACAGTACAAAGAATGTCCATGCACCTTTACCCAGATTCTCCAAACATTAGCATTTTACTACGAGGGTGAGTCAAAAATTACTCACACTCTGATTATATTAAAACACCTGTTCACATCCACGACTGATGGCAATATTGAGTGTGCACATGAGATGATTCTGTCGAATAGATGAGTAACAGTATATCATGTGGCAGATAGATCATTTGCAAATCAGCCATGGCTCTGCCTGTGAGATAATCCACAACAGATTTGGGTTTTGAAAAGTTTGTGTGAGATGGGTACTGAAACAACTCACGGAAGACCATAAACAGAAGGGTTTGGACATCTGAAAACAACATTTGGACCAATACTTGAAAGAAGGTAAAAGTTTCCTTGGAAAAAAAAAATCATTACTGATAACTAGACATAAATTCATCTCTATGAGCCTGAGAGCAAACGGCAGACTATGGAATGGAAACATCCTCAATTGCCAACCAAGACAAAGTTCAAAAGTCAGCCATCAGCTGGAAAATTGATGCTTACAGTATTCTGGGATTCTCAAGGACCAGTATTGGAACACTATCAGGAAACAGATTCAATAATCAGCACTGTTCATTGCAGTGAGATACCCACCACCCCCACACACTGAAGAGCTGAAGCCTAAACTTCAGATTCAATGCAGCAGACTGCTACCCAAGGGCGTTGTGATCTTGCATGACAATGCATATCCACACACCTCTGCCCACACTGCTGACACTCTGCAAAAACTTCCTTTTGAGGTGTTAAAGCATCCTCTCTATAGTCCTGATCTTGCTCCATCAGACTTTCACCTGTTTGGTCCCCTGAAAACATCCCTTTTTTTAAAAAAAAAAATTTGACTCACCTTCTTATATTGGTCTCTCCCTGTCTGGAGAAAAGACGAGTTAAGAAAGTGGAAGGCTCATGGAAACAATTAGTCTAGTACGTTAATGGACCATGAGACATCATTCTCCATGGCCTGAGACCAGGAGAATAAGGTGGTACTCTGCTACCATAACCAGCTGCTCCAAAATGGATCTTACTGGGAAATTCAGGATTGAGTGGGCGAAAAGTGTGGGACAAAACTGAAAATCATAAAAGAGCAGGTTTACTAGTGGAATGAACCTTAGAGTATGGCCCTGGAGTGAACTCACTCATATGCACAGTTTTCAGCCAAACATTAGATAGATCTATAAAGGGAATAATAACACTAGTAAAGTTCCCATACCTTATAATAATAATAATGATTTGAGATGAAAAAGGGAGCATTCCAAGGATAAACTTGAGAAGAGTTAGGAAAGAAGGAGAAGTGGAACCAGGAAACCCAGGGAGGAAGTGGGGTGAGTGATGTTACCTGTGAGGACCGCAACCAACAACACGAAACAAAACGTGTGTGAATTGTTGACTGGAAAGCTGATCTGTTCTGTAAATCTTTACCCAATACACAGTAAAAAGCTTAAAATTAAAATCCTCTTTGCAAGCCATCATAGTAATAATCAATGAGAGTAGTAATCATAAGTAGATGATAAAATGCCTTTGTACATAGTCTCAAAACTCTCCCCCAGAAGATACTTAGTAATTACCAAGGGAAGTAGCACCAGTAGCAGGAAGATCAACATCATGTGCGACCTGGCACAATGCACTGAGACAGACACAATGTCACATTTGTGATCGTTCTGCCAACAATCTATAACCTGAATTTAATCATGAGAAAGTACCAGACAAAGCGAAATTAAGGCATAGTCTAAAATAACTTGCACGATTTAAGTTCTTAAAAAAGTTCAGACTTGCTGGACATGTTGAGATTGGAGGAATCCCCATGACTATTCTGAGATACTGTTTAAACCGGACCCAAACCTAGCCCCTGGAGTTACTTTTTAGCTAAGTAACAGATTGGCTAAGAAAATAAAGAATATAGTCCGTGAGAACAACAATCCTTTAAAAAAGCATCTATATGAGACCAAATGGTCAAGAATTACCCTAAAACAAAGATTAGAAAAAGGGAAAGGGAAACTAAATTACCAAAAACAGAACAACTAGACAGAATTAACGGGAATGTTGATACATTGTGAAAAGTGGAACCAATGTCACTGAATAATTTGTGTAAAATTTGTTAAGTGGGAGCCTAATCCACTGTGTGAACTCTCACCTAAAACACAAGAAAATATTACTTAAAAGAAAGTAGCAGGTATTCTTCAATAATGGCATTAAAGACAAAAGCTAAGACACTATCCCAAATGTAAGGAGACTAGTTGCCATGAGTCAGAATTGATAAACATTAATGGCAACAACATGCAACGAATAACCTTGAATTGGATCGTGGGCCAGAATGTGTTGTTGTTGTTAAAAGGACGTTAATAGGGCAACTGGCAAAATTTGAATAAAATCTGTGGATTGGATCATAGTATTTTATCAATGTTAATTTCCTGATTTTGATCATTTTGCTGGGTAATTGGAGAGAATGTCTTTACGTTTTAGGAACTATAGACTGACATATAGAGGATCAAGAGGCATTTGAAGTTACTGTCAAATGGTTCAAAATAATACATATGCATGTGTATATAGATTTATATTATGTGTATATATTACATACCTAGAGAGAAGGAGGAGGGAAGAAGGAACAATAAAACAAATATATAAGGGTGAGTCAAATTGTCTGCATCCTGGCTGTAGAATTTATTTTAATCAGTTTTTAGAAAAGACAAATGCATCATTTTTTGACATAATCTCCTTGCTTTTCAATCCACTTTGTCCATATGTCAACAAGTTTTCATATTCCCTAATCTAAAATATGTGTTAGGCTGAGCTGAGAACCGCAAATGCACTGCTGTCTTCATTTCTTCACCAGAGGTGAATCTTTGTCCTCAAAGGGCTGTCTTTGTGGTCTGTGTTATGCCATTTGATCTTCGTGTCCTCCAAAACTATGGTCCTGAACCTCTAGGCCAGTGATTCATCCCTTCAAGGTGTCTGGTTATGTCTAAGAAGTTTTCACAATTTATGGCAGAGATTTTTTTTTAATCCCACCTATAACACAGGTGAGGAGAAATCCCCCTGGTGTTTGGCATTTAGAAGTTCCCAGCGAATGACTCCTAGCTCAGAGCTTAGGTGGTTTACCCCTGTTCTATTTCACTGAGATTGGGAGGAAAAGATCAGGCTACTTAACTAGATTAAAAACAAAACGTTAAGATTGTTGAAATGGCAAGTGTTTTATTACCTATATATTTACAACAGTTTAAAAAAGTGCAAAACAACAAAAGCCCCTACACAAAACTGTCAACACAGTCAAGTAGAACCCCAGACTAACTTCTACAAACTGCATTGCCCTGCTCTAGGAAGCAGAAACCCTATACAGGGTCGCTGTGAGTGGGAACTGACTCAACATGAAGGTAGCAGAAAGGCTCCCTAGCCTTGGGCTCCCATTCCAGCCCCAGCCCATGGTGGCAGTTCCTGCGTCCGCCTGCAGAGGCGATCATGGGTTGTTGGGGAGCTGGATGCTGAGCTTCTCCAGTTACCGAGCCTGCTACTTGGCGCTGGTAGAGTAATGGTTATGAATCAGACTGTGAACCGCAAGTTCAGCAGTTTGAAACTACTGGCTGCTCTGCGGGAGAAAGATGAGGATTTCTGCTCCCATAAAGATTTACCACTTTGGAAACCCTGTACAGGGAGGGTCACTATGAGTCAGAACCGACTCCACAGCACATAACAACTCCGAAACCCTATACAGGGTCACTATGAGTCAATGGCACTTAACAACAACACTTTAAACAATGTTGATTTCTCACCCTGCACTGGGCCTTTTGGGCCAAATGTGACTTTTTAGGTTCATTTACTGGGGGCAAGATTGCAAGAGAAATATTTAACCTACAGAGAAGACTAGTCACCAGGGCAGAAGAGCTCATGGGCCTGGACTCTGCCAGCCTTTCCTGCCCGTATCAAAGTAGTAAAAGAGTTTGCTTCTCAAATGTGTTCAGAGTAGTGAGTTACGTGTGCCAGTACTTAATTCTCTCTGTGTGCATGTGACGGATGCTCCTCTATCCTGGGAGTGTCAGCCTCGTTTTGATCGTGGCTAGAGGCTTGCCTCCTGGTGTGCCTGCAGTGTAAGACCAAGCACATCCCTTCCCCTGACTGTCTTCCCAGGTAGACCAAGGGACGTGACAGTCACACGTCTCTTGGCTAGGCAGGCACCACGCCAGCTTCACCGCCCCTTACTTATCTTCTCAGTATAAGCAGGACAATAGGATCTCTGAAGAAGATGGTGAGGGAGGGCTGCCGGGGGTGGCAGGGTCCTGGACTGATCCTGCCCCATCTTTGTCTGCTTACAGCTGCCCTATGAGAAGACCTGCAAGAATAAGACATCTTGTAATGCTGAATTACAGTTGGACTTCACCATCTCCCAGTGAGTTGGATACAGTCTTTGTGGTTTTTGCTCTTAATGGAAGGGCCCTCTCCCTGAAGGCTTACCTGGGCAAGACCTTCATCAGGATGGAGAGCTTACATCTCTCGCCTTCCCCTCCAAGCCCATGAGGGACTTTTGCATTTATTATTTCCTTGCATCCTCAGCCACCCTATGAAGGAAACAGGAGAGAAATTTGTATTTCCGTTTTACAAGTGAGGAAACTGAGGCTTAGCAGTTGAGGGCACTGTGGGGCTCATAGTGGTCATTTGATAGACTTTGAGCCCAGGTTTTATGACATCCTGGACAATGCGATTTTCATAGACCAGTAATAATTTCTTCCCTGGCTCACCTCCTGACCACACTGATCAAATATTTATTGAATATCTATCCTGTGTTGCTCACTGTCTAGATGCTGGGGATACATTAGTGAGCAGCACAAAGTCCCCGCCCTCCGGAAGTTTTTAGGGCGGGAAGATAATACCTGAGTGCCCTCTGTAATAGATTCTGAGAGGTGCTATGGAGCAAAATCCGGCCAGAAGTAGGAGGGAGTGCTGGGTAGAAAGACATTGCAGTTTTATATGGGGTGGGGTGGGGGCTCCTTGGGAGGTGGCATTTTCACAAATGCAGGTGGAGGTGGAGGAATGAGCATGTCCAAGGGGAGAGCACCTTTACATACCCTGGGTTGAGAGCAGGGACCCCAGCATGGTTAGAGTATAGAGAGGAGGCAGAGAACATAGAAAAAGAGGTCAGAGAGGTAACGCAGGGGAAGGGGCATTACACAGCGCTTCCTAGACCTTCCATAAAAGCTTTTACTGTGAGCTGTGGAGCCAAGATGAAGACAGTTCAACAAATCACTCCTGCTGTTGTGTTGAGGATAAAATATGTGAATAAAGGTGAAGCTATTGTAATCACTCAAGTGAGCTGGTGGCTTGGACCAGCATAGTAACCATGAAGGTGGTTATATATTTTGAAGCTTGAGTCCATGGAATTTCTGATAGATTGAAGGTGGGGAGTGAAAAAAAGAGAGGGATCTAAGGTGTCTTCAAAGGTTTCAGCTTGAGCATCTAGAACTACCTTGTCTAGTAGACACATTTGGCTATTTAAATTAACTTAGATGCAATAATGTGAAAAATCTTGGTCCTCAGTTGCCACTTTTCAAGTGTTCAGTACCCACATAAGGCTTGTGGTGCTGGGCAGCACGGAGATAGAACGTTTCCATTGTTGCAGAACATTCTATGATGAATTATAGAATGATGGAGTTATAAATCGCTGAATTGGGGTAACCTTTGGGAAAATGGTTTTGGGAGGCAGAGTGCAAAGGAGAGACCCTAAGTTTGGCTTTGGATATGTGAGGATCTTAAAATGCTCTCCTTGGGCTCCAGTTCTCTGTAACATAGTACTAATGATCTTTAGCTGGGCAAAGCTGGCATCTAGGAGGATGAACGCTGGTGCCCGAATCCTGGGAAGCCTTTTCATAGGCGTGTGCAGGAATTGTGTTTTAGAAGTGTCTGGCTTAAGGCTGCCCTTCCCAATCACTGAGACCCCAATTCAAGACATTAGAGTTGTTTGGAACCAAGCCTCACAAGCATATGCAGCTGTTTCCAGAGGAATTAATTACAGCCCAGGATTGCCCTCCTTGTCTTCAGTGAATTATAATTACAGTACATGCAGACTGCTTCATACCGCCACCTAGTGTATATAGCAAGCACATCTCTTCGTTATTCAAAAATATCATGGAGCCTACTTGCCAGCATTTAAGTGAATTCGTAGGAGCTTTTGTAGGGTCGTGGTTATGAGTTGGGTTGTTAACCTTAAGCAGTTCAAAGCTACCAGCTGTTTTGTGGGAGAAAGATGAGGCTTTCTGCTCCTGTAAAGATTTACGGCCTGAGTTGGAACTGACTCCATGCCACACCACTAAGTGAATTTTTGTTTTTGCTTTTGAAATCTTGGACCTGGATCCCTAAAATAACCTACTGAAAGCTACAGGCCCTTCTCGCTACAATATTATATGCGATGCACAAATAGTTTGCATTCAGGACCCTCTGGAAATGTCTTTGGAGTTCAGGTTAAGAATCTTCTAGTCAACTAACATTTAAACATCTGGTAGCGTAGTGGTTACGAATTGGGCTGTGAACCTTAAGGTCAGCGGTTCGAAACTACCAGCCGCTCCGCGGGAGAAAGATGAGGCTTTCTACTCCCGTAAAGATTTACACCCTCGGAAACCCTATACAGGGTCGCTATGGGTCAGATCTGACTCGATGGCACTTAACAACAACAACAACAACAACAACCTGACTCATGGAGCCCTGGTGTGGCGCTGTGGGTTAATATGCCAGACTGCAAATCCGTTTGAACTGCAAGATTAGTGATTCAAGCTCACCAGCGTCTCCCTGGAAACCCTATACAGGGTCGCTATGGGTCAGAACCGACTTGACGGCACTTAACAACAACAACAACCTGACCCATGCCATGGTATTTTCAGTAGCCTCATATGCATGTGAAAGTTGGACAATGAATAAGGAAGACCAAAGAAGAATTGATGCATTTGAGTTACAGTATTGGAGAAGAATATAAAAAGTACCATGGGTTGCCAGAAGAACATATAAATCTGTGTTGGAAGAAGTACAGCCAGAATGCTCCTTAGAAGCCAGGATGGTGACACTTTGTCTCTTAATCTTCAGACATATTATCAGGAGGGACCAGTCCCTGGATAAGACATTATGCTTGGTAAAGTGGAGGGTCAGCGAAAAAGAGGAAGACCCTCAACGAGATGGATTGGCACAGTGGCAGCCTCAATGGGCTCACATGTAGCAATGATTGTGAGGTTGGTGCAGGACTGGGCAGTGTTTCATTGTGCATAAGGTTGCTATGAGTTGGCACCTAACAACAACTGTGTCATATGAAACTCTTGTAGTGCAGTGGATTACAAGTTGGACTGCTAACCAAAAGGTCAGCAGTTCAAATCTCCCAACCACTCTGTGGGACAAAGATGAGGCTTTGTGCTCCCGTAGAGCTTTACAACATTAGAATTCCTATACAGAGTCACTATGAGTAGGAATGGACTCAACAGTACACAACCAGTACCTTGTTATTCAGGAGTCGCTGGCTAGTGTTCAACTTCTAACCAAAAGGTTGACAGTTTGAAGCCACCTTAAGGCACCTCGGAAGATGGACCTAGCATTCTGCTTCCTTGAGAACCCTGTGGAGCAGTTCTACTCTGCACACGGTGGTTACCCTGAGTCAGAATGGACTCGATGACCTTCAGATGTCCCAAGCTGAACTCCTTGCTCCGTTCCCCACACCACTCCAGCCTCCCTTCTTCGTTCACTCCATCCATCAATAGCACCACTCAGTCTCCAAGCTGGACACTCAGGACTCTTCCCTCACTGTTTGGTGTACAAGTGTGGCCTTACCCTCCCTCCTGCCCCCTACTGCTGCTGTTGTTGAGTGCCACCAGGTCGGTTCTGACTCATATCTGCCCTGTATAGTGTGTCCAAGGAGCAGCTGTGGTTACTGCTGGCTTATTTCAGGCTCATGTTATCTGTCACATCAGATGCTCTAACTGGTATCTGCCTTGTGTCTCTCTCCAATCAATCAGTTCATCCTCTTCTCAGCTGCCAGAGAACTTTTTTGTTTTGTTTTTTTCCTTTAAACACATTAGAGCTGCACCTTCCTTCGTTGGGCATTTCAGACGGTTAGAACATTTTCTTTCTATTATTCATGAGCGTTCTTGTAGCTCTCCACTTCCGATATGTATTCTGCAGTCTGAATCCCCAGTACTGCCGTATCCCTGAGGCATCTCTTCTCTAGGCTAAAAGATCCAGCCTTTACATCGGAAGGGCCTTCATGATCCTGTGGATGGGAAGGCTGAGGCCAAGAAAGGGAAACTCTCTGAGGGCAGGCACAGTGTCTGTCTTGTGCACCACTGATCTCAGTGGTGAGCACCCAAAGGATATCTGCTGAATGGAGGGACTTGTGTACAGAAGTCCCTTGCCTCAAGCCATAGTAAGTTGGTGGTAGGATCAGGATCTGGACCTAATTCTCCCAGCTCCTTCTGTGGCTGCTAGAATCTAGGCAAACTAGTTTCTCTAGACTCCGATTTCCCCCTCTTTTTAAAATGGAATCTGAGTCATTGTACTATTCCCTAGGGTTATAAAAATTAACATGAAGCATTTAGTGCAGTCCCTGGCACATGGTAGCCATTGCTGTCATCTCAGACATTAATGAAGGGAGGGTGGCATTTCAGGTGTTTAATTATGTTGAGGGAAAGATGCTCTAGACTCAGTGTAAGAAGCCAATTAAGCATGGGCTATTATATTGCACCTAGACACCATTAACCAGTAACATTTTGTCTATTTGTATCCCTCCCCTCCCCTGTACAGGCAGAATTTGGTGATAGGTGATACAAAGGAGCTGATTATGAATCTGAATGTAACTAACTCTGGGGAAGATTCCTACATGACCATCCTGACTGTGCAATACCCCAGGATCTTACAGTTTAAGAGGATACAGACGGTAACCATGGGAGCAGCTTCAGAAACATGCCACTCGTGTCCCCTCATCACACACCTGCTTGCTTTTTATGCAGCCTCCTGCCTGGTTCTCCTGCCTCCAGCTTCCTCTTGCTCCACCTCATATCTGTTAATTAGATGAATCCCCTCCAACCCACCCATATGCCATGGACCCAATCATGCCATTCTTTGAGTCCAAAACTTCAACGTGCCCTTTTATCACACCGTCATTCCTCACTGTCTAGCCTTTCCTAACCTGGGTTCTGGAGATAAATAAGGTTTATTCCCCGAGGCATTGAGAGAGTGAAATGTCACTGGGACTAGGACAATCAAAGGAGCCTTGGTGTGGCGCTGTCGGTTAATGCGCTGGACTGCAAGATCGGTTTGAACTGCAAGGTCGGCGGTTCAAGCTCACCAGCTGCTCCTTGGAAACCCTATACAGGATTGTTATGAGTCGAAATGACTCAACGGCACTTAACAACAACAAAGAAAATAAAAATCTTTACTGCCATTTGTCAGGTAGCCCCTGGGTAGAGCAAATAGTTGGCATTCAGCTGCTAATCAAAAAGTTGGCAGATTGAATTCACCCTGCAGCCCCACAGAGGAAAAGCCTGACAATCTATGTCTGTATGACTAAAGCAAACCTGTTGCCTTTGAGTTGGTCCCAGCTCACTGTGACCCCCTACGTTGTAGAACACACGGTGCTCTAGGGTTCTCAAGGCTGTGATCTTTGGAAGCAGATCATCGGTCTTTCTTCCAAGGTTCTTTGGGGTGAACTTGAACCACTAACCTTCTGTGTTAATAGTTGAGCAGCTTAAGTGCCCAGGGAGTTGACCATCCGATTGTTGTTGTTGTTATGTACTGTTGAGTCGATTCTGACTCATAGCGACCCTGAACAAGGTTTCCTAGAAGCAGCTAATACCCACTGAAAAGCAGAAGTGCAATTCTACTCCGACACAAGGCTGCCACGAGTCAGGATTGAGCTGATGGCAGTGGGTTTGGGGTGCTTTTATTGTTGCTTTGTTTCAAATAATTCTTTAGGTTAGGATCACAGACATGATGCAACCGTGAAGGTAATAGGAAACAATCTTTCGCCTGAAGTAGGAAAGTATCATACAACTGGAAAATGTTTTCTAAAATTGTAGACTATCAGAGACTTTGCTGCTGGAAGCTACATCAGTAATTATGAGAACATTTTCCTCTTGCTTGGAGAACCTAGGGGAGAAAGATGTGGCTGTCTGTTCCTGTGACGATTTATAGTCTCGGAAACCCTATATATAGATAGGGTTGTTATGAGTGGGCACTGACTTGATGGTTGGTGGAGAATCTTAGTCACTTTCACAATGAGAAACAGTCTCTTTTCCACGAAGTTGCCGAACTCTAGGCTTCTGAACACAATTTTTCACATCTTAAACCACAAGGTCAGTGGTTCAAAGTCACTGGCTCCTCCTCGGAAACCCTAGATAGGGCCGCTGTGACTCAGAACTGACTGCAGTGGCACTTAAAAACATCTTTACAGTTTCTATAGAATGAGTCCTTGGGGGCTGCTGCAGACAGTCCAGAGCTGATGTTGATTGCCCTCTTTCCACACAGCCCTGCTCTGCTTTGGGATTGTTAAAAACCTGCTTTATGTCAATATCACCTAAATTCCGTTCTTCTCCAGAATATTGTAATGACTCTTCGCCCCCTGTCCCCTTTTTTTGATGAACTCCACCACAGCAGGGTCTTCCTCACTGCAGTGAGTCAATAAACCTGACGTTTGTCATACTGCAGATTTCTCCCTGGTGACCTTAGTTTAATTGGAAGAGGAAAACATTCACTAAATGAACTTCTCTCATATTCAATCTCAGTGAAACTAGTGAAGGCCCAAGGTGAGAATGGCTTTGTGACAAGGCGTGGGCTCAGGGTCCTCTCAGCCTGTCCACTGTATTTATATTCCATGTCCAAATGACTCCTTCCCCATGAAGGCTTTGTATTCCTTCTAGTTGGAATTAAGGAGTCCCTGAGTGGTGCCAGTGGTTAATTGCTCAACTATTAGCTGAAAGGTTGGTAGTTCAAACTCACCCAGAGGTCCCTTGGAAAGTCTGGTGATCTGCTTCCAAAAGATCCTAGTCTTAGAAACCCTGTGAATTACTTCTACTCTGCCCACATAGGGTCACCTAGAGTCTGACTAGTTGACAGCTAACAATACTCATCACATATTCAGTGTGATGACCCTAAGCAAGAGCTCTGGAAGCATAGTGGTTAAGAATTGGGCTGTGAACCGCATGGTCAGCAGTTCGAAACTACCAGCTATTCCGCGGGAGAAAGATGAGGCTTTCCCATAAAGATTTATAGCCTTGGAAACCCTGGACAGGGTCGCTGAGTCGGAACCGACTCCAGGGCACATAACAACAACAACAATCCTCTCTGTCATCAAGTTGATGCCCACTCATGGCGGCCCTGTGTAGGGTTTCTGAGACTGTTAAGTCTTTATGGGGACAGACATTTTTCTCTATGGATGGTTGGTGGGTTTGAACCACCGACTTTGTGGATAGCAGCCCAGTGCCTAACCTGCAGCACCATCAGGGCTCCTTAATAACAATGTTGTTGTTAAGTGCCATCGAGTCGGTTCTGACTCATCGCAACCCTGTATAGGGTTTCTGAGGATCAGCTGGTGGATTTGAATTGCCGACGTTGTGGTTTGCAGTCCAGTGCTGATCCTAGAGTGCCACACACCAAATAGTTGGAATTAATAACTTTTGCTCACTGAGATTCTGTGTGTTTCTCCCAGCTCTATTCAGTTCTGGCATTTCAGTTCCTCAACGATCTACTTCTAGGCATTCCTGTCTAGCTTGGGAGGAAGGCAGGGACCTGGCTGATTTGTAGTCTGTGGTCCAGATGAGGGTGCCTGCCATGTGGGGAAATGAGTGACTGTTGAACTGGTGTGAGGAATCTGCTCCTTTGCCTTTTGTCCTTCTGTGTTCACAGCCTACATCTCTGCATATTCAGTGTGATGACCCTCAGCAAGATGCTACTGCCATGAACTGCAAGATTGGCCACCCCGTATTCAAGAGGTCGTCTGTGAGTTTGCTTTGAATGGTTGGCTCTTACTACCCTGGGTCTCTCAATTACGGTCCCTGCATGTGTCTACTGCGGTCAGTCCACAGCAGAACTTGGATCTGATAATGTTGCTCTGAAAGTAGGGAGTGGGAGAGACAGACGATGGGTTCTCAGTATACATACAGCCAGAGACAAGCTGATAGTTCACCCTAGTGAATGAGACTTGGGGGTAATAGGGAAGGAGCATCAGAGCAAAGGTTTTTAGTCCCAAGGTGAACCCTTATCTATTGATTATCTTTGTGCTGCTGAACAGTCACTGGTCTCTGCAGCAGTTTTTTCAGCTGTAAAATGGGAATAATGTCATCTGTCCTGTTGAGTCTACATCTACAGTGCAGGGCTCACGTGAAATAATGAATGTGGAAATGAGCTACAAAAATGTAAGGAATTATGAATTGTCTCTTAGGCTTCTTTAGGTATTAGGAAGCAGTATGAGTTGTGAGTAGTATAGAAGGAAATCAAGTGACCATTTCTTTCCCTTTAAAATAGGCAGACATCATGATATCTTGGCAGCTAGAGGAGAATGTCTTTTCCAACAGTACAGAGGACATCACTGTGACCACCACCAGGTGAGTGATACCTGTGTCACCCCAGACTCAGGCTGTGTCCCTGAAGGAAGTCCCTCCCACCTGCATAAGGAATGTCTGTGAGCCTCCACACCCAATCTCCCTTCAATGATCTAGCAATGCAAGGATGTGTCACTTCGCACACAAAGTGATACTGTGGGTAGCCTGGTGGAATAGGTCATTAAACAGGTCATTTAACTGAGTAGCTGTCATTTGCAAAGTCTCCCTGTCTGGGAGTAGGTGGGGTGGGGTAAGATGTGTAGTTCTCAAGTGAGGGTTCTGCCCTCCAGAAAGTGTTCACACTGTAGGGGGATCTACTTGCCAGGAATATTACTAAGCATCCTACAGGCCAGCCTCCCCATCACTATCACCAACATGCACGCACACTGAAAGACTTCCAAAATGCCAGTCGTGCAGAGGCTGAGAAACCCTGGTTCTAACAGTGTTTCTCCAAGTGAGGTCTTTAGCCCACCTGCATTACCAGAATTTGTTAAAATGCAGATGTCTCAGCCCACCCAGACTAACTGAACCAATCAAGGGGGAAATTCTAAGAATCTGCACCTTAACAAACTCTCCTCAACCCTCTTCTGTACTCCAGATCCATCATCTCCGACTTTTTCTTTTCTTACCCCTGATGGCTCTGGGAAGCCATCATAAGCAGTTGTTAATATGCAAAGCAGGGGTCTGGGAACTGACACACTGTATTTCCTAGTTCCAACATAGGGTCTCCAGTCAGTAAGAGTGCAACCATGACATTCAAGCGTGCCTTCACTGCAATGCTTAACAAGTAAGTGTTTCCAGGGGGCCTAGGAGACAGCTTCAGAGACGGTCTCTCTGGTGGTCAGGATGAATGTGGGTCACACTCTTCTTTGAGGATGCTGCTTAGAACCAGGCTCCAATATTGATCTCTAGGATTGGGCCTTAGAAACTCCATAAGGAGCCCCAGTGGCACAGTAATTCAGTGCTTGGATGCTAATCAAAGGGTGAGCAATTGGAACCTGGCAATCTGCTTCCTTAAAGATGGCAGTCTTGGGAACCCTATGGGGTACTTCCACTCTGTCCTGTATGCTTGCTATGGGTCAGAATCAACTTGACAATATCCCACCACGGGGGGATCAGAGGAGCAGTGCCAACAGGTCTTGCTGTAGGGGTGCCACTGTGGTGCTAAGGAGAGAAGAGAGGGGCTGTGGGGCTGGGAAATAAGGAGGAAGAAAAGCAAGGTTACTCTTGGCATGATAAGAGACAGCCAGCATGTCAACCCAATCTGGGATGAAGGAGAATTCAAATATTCTCCTTCATCCCAGATGCCCTATAGACACTTGGCATGTTGACAGCCAGTTTCAAATCCTGTTAAGGATCCAGTGCCCTCTGTCCTAGTGTACTCAGTTGGTAGCATTACACACGTACTCTCAATTGCAGACCATTGGTGATGTATATGAACACAAGCAAGAGTCTTCTTGACCACAAAGAATTCATCTTCAATGTAAGTACCTAGTGCTTATCACTGCAAAGCTATAGGTGGCAGAGCAACCCCAGCTTTGATTTCCCATGCTGATTTTGTTTTGCAGATACGTGGGGATAATCACTATGATGCCCAATTCCAGTTGCAAATTTGTGTTCCAATCAAAATCCACGGCTTTCAGGTTGTAAATGTGATGAACTACACCCAGGTACTTATATGGGGCTCTCTATCACAATCAAATCACTGTCTAGAGTGACTATGGGTTTCCAGAAGAGAGTTCTAGTAAAGGAGTATCAACTAGCTATGGGAAAACAGGAGTAAATTCCAAAGTCACGTTTAGAAAGCACAGGTCTATAAAGGCACAGGTCTATAAAGCAACATTTTTATTTCCCCTTGATGAAAAATAAGCAAAAAAGTCAAACCTTGTTTAGTTGCCATAGAGACATTTATTTTCCCCTTTGAAAATGGATAAAATTTTGCTTTTCTATGTAATTGGTTAATGCTTCATAAGCATGTGGCATTTGTCAGGTCTCCTGTAAATTGTCAACCATCTTCCTTTCTTCTCTCCCTCTAGTCTGTCTCTGTGGGTCTGCGTTGCTCCAAGCCTATTGGCTTTCGGTTATGACCCGTCTGTAGTCTGTTTTCCAAAACCAAAGCAGCAGGTTCTGATCAGTATGGCAGTGGAGGCTTGGGCTTTCCCAAGTTGGCTTCTTTTTGTCTCAGGCAAAAGTGGCAAGATGTTCAATCAAAGCATGGAAAGGCATTTACCGAGTAGCCTCTGCTGACAGAAAGAAGCTTCTAAGTTGTAAGCTTAATAGGGTTTCATCCCTTTGGCAGCACCACTTGGAAACAAAGTTCTTGTCTGAAAACCTTAGGTTTTGCTGTGGGGATGGAGACTCAGTTACTTAAATAGACTGTGCTGGCAGAGCAGCTCTGTGGCGGAGCTGAAGTTCAGCATTGTCTTGTGAAAATGTTGGATCTCTCGCTTCAGTTGCTTCAAGGCAGAGGTGTTATTTTTACTCTTGAAGGTCACTTGTTTCAGAATCTTATCTGTGAGGTAATGGAGCCAGAGCACATTATTATAAGGGTGGTACTCGCCCCAGCAGTTATTGTTTTCCTTCCTCATCAGTCTATAGATCTCAAACTGGTAGTCACCCTCACCTGTAAAGAGGTCCTCATCCATGGAAATGTCGCAGAAAACCACTATTCCGTCCCGCTCCAAGCGTGACAGGGTGTAGTCAATGATGTTGACTTGCAGCCCATGGGTGCGGATAGTGTTCGTCTTCCCATTGAGGGTGTAGTGGAGCTCTTTGTGGCTGGTTTTCTTTAAGAGCACATTCCCCCAATGTAAGTCCCGGTGCTCAAAGTGCAGGGAGGACTCTGCCACGGCGAGTGACGCGGTGATCTGGTGCAAAATGCTCTTCGCAGCAGCCATGGAAGTCAGCTGCCTTCTCATTCGCTCCAAGTCAGTGCCTCCAAACTCAAATTCCAGTACAATGAAGAGCTGTTGTTCATTAAAAAAGTCTGGCCGGTCATTAGCAGACCCTTTGGTTGAGTGATAGTGGTCCCAGGCTCTGAGGAGCAATGGAGGATAAGATCCTTGGACACAGTGCACTGAGTTCAGTCCAATAAAGCCTTCTGTGCGGTTGCGTTCTTCATCAGACAAGAGACTCAACTCTTTGGAGATGATAATCTCTGGCAGTATTTCCTCGAAGGTTTTCTGATGGGATCCGTTGACTAAATCCTGCCCTTCGATAGCAATGATTTTTAGGGCTATGGGTGTGTGATTAGCAAATGTCTGAAACACCTCCCCAAACACCCCTTCCCCAATCTTCTCACAGTGTTCCAGTTTTTCGGTGGAAAGGCAGCAGCTAAAGGGCAGGGGTCCTTCCTGATTGCATTCCCCATAAACCTTCTCAGCATCACATGCCTTTTTATTTGCACTCCCTAACATCTGTAAAGGGCTTAGCAAATACATGGACGAGGAAAGCCAAGGGCTCAGGGCACTGTTTGTTTTGTTCATGATAGAAGAGTTTGAGTACTCTGATAAAAGGGATTCCGAGGGAGAACTGGTAATGATGGAGTTGCTACACACCTCTGACGCAGCAGTCACGATCTTCTTCTTGTGGAAAGAGAGGGAGGCCCTGGTTTTAGTCCAAGGGCAGGCATGCTGTGAGTGAGTCCAGTTCTGGGTGAGGCAGGAGTCAGTTTTCATCTTTTGGCCCTTTTTAAGCCTGTGGTCGTGGAGGAGAGAGATTTCTGCTACCTCCTGATGTTTTCTCTTTTGGCTTGGCCCAGTTCTTTCAGGCTGTTTGGTTCCCGCAGCTGCAATTCGGCCCTTGTAACCCCGGCTCTCCTCATAATCTATCTGGACAGTCTTTTGAGACCCAGCCTTTTGGCAAGAGTGCTGGGCTGTGGCTCTGTTCTTACCAGTTCTTAACCAGCCCAGGCCCTCCGTCCTGTTTCCCACCAGTTCAGCTTCACAGCGGGACCCCCTCATCTTCTTCCCATCTGTCCCACACTCAGGCTTCTCAGCGTTCACCGAGTCCACAGAGCTCCAGAGAGCTGACCTGACGGTGGCACGGGTTTGATGGCGAGCCCTGGTGAACTTGCCTCGGGCCGCAGCGGCCTTCCGGGTGCAGGGGGGAGATGCCAGGTCCGGGGAGGCTGCGGGGCAGCGGGAGTCTCTGGGGACTGGAGAGGCTGTCTGCAGGGCGGAGCTGGGGCGGGCATAGGTGACACTGACCGCTAGCGCTGGGACCCCAGCTGCAGGGCTGCTGGGAGAGGCCGGAGAGCTGAACAGGGAGGCGCTGGTGCCCAGCTCGTCGCAGTCGTTGGGCTGGCTGCACACACTGAGCTCCGGGCTGAGACGGCCCGGGTGGTTGTCGGAGAAGGGCGGCGGGCCGTACAGGCCACACGGGGTACTGCACTTCTGTGGCGGCCGAGCTCGCAGCCTCAGGCGTCTGGGGGTCACGACCAGGCTCGGCCGGTCGTTGGGGATGCGACCGCCAGGGCGCTTCCGCGTTTGACGGACCGGGCTGCAGCGGAAGTCGGGGTCGTCGGGGTCGTCGGAAGCGACGGACTGCAAGGGACCGCTGTTGTTGGCGTCGCTGCTGCTACTGCTGCTGCTAAAGAAACGCTTCCGATCTGGCGGCGGGAACCATTGCGTGGCAGCCCGCCCCGGCCGCCGCCGCGGTCCCCAGCCACCTACAGTCCCGTACGTTCGGAAGAGCCGGCTCCCGGGTCGCGGGAACGAGACCGCCATAACTCGCACCCGCCTAGCAGTTCAAATTCAAGCACCGCGAGAATTCAAGATGACGTTTAGGCGTCTGCCGGCCGGCCTACGCACAAGCCGGGTCCTAGCGCCCGTCTTCGCGCGTGCGCTTTCCTGCGGGTCGCCAAGAAGCCGGTAGAGGGGCGTTCACCATGACGGTGTCTTGTACTCACGGCGTTGCGGGGAATGGCTTTCGTTTCAGAACTGCACTGTGTGTAATAAGAGTCAAGAGTGCGATTGGGAAAGCGACCAGGTTCAGGTGAGCACAACAGTCCCCATGTGGCCGCGGGAGGGAGGGAGGACCTGAAGCGGTGACTGGAGAATGCCCGGTAAACCCTTTGTGCTGTTGTCAACCGTAAAGGACAGGAGAACTGCTCCGTAGGGTTTGTTGCTGCTGTTAAGGGCCATTGAATCGGTTCCGACTCATAGCAACCCTGTAGAAGGATTCCTAGGAGCGGCTGGTGGGTTTGAAGCACCGCCCTTACGGTCCAGTTCATCATCCTGCAGCGCCACCCAGGACTCCCCATAGGGTTTGCGAGACTGTGAATCCTTTACAGAAGCAGACGAGCAGCCTAGTCACGCCGCCATCAGGCCTTCTGATAAAAATGCTCAGATACCGCTTTCCCGAGGTTCTCCCGGTTAGCAAATGCAGGCGGCCTCTGAGCCTGCTCATAACCTGTATGAGAGGGACTTTAAAAAGTGCCTGGAAAAAATGGCATGAAAAAAGAAAGAGATTTTTCCACGAACATTTTGAAGCCCCCTTTGTTTTCTGGGGCTTGTAGATGTCCTCTGTTCAACGTTTCAGTCTCTGCACAGATGATGCACAGAAAAGAGATGATGCTAACCAGGATTTTGGCTCTCTCCCCAGCACGTGGAAGAATGGGATTCCGTGAACTGCAACATTACTTCAGGTCAAGAAAATGTAACGGTGGCTGCAGAGCTCATCTTGAGTCACTCTGAGCGGGTAATTAAAACTGTACAAGCTACAAATTTGATTATCCATCTACCCTGGTCAGCTCTCCTCACAGCATCCAGGATGTAACTTGTGAAAAACAACCACAATTCTAGGCTTTACCTGTGACTGTTCCCTTTCCTACAGCCTCATGTTTATTCCAGCAGCAAAGCCCTGTCATTCTGTCTCCAAAACATTTCCTAAATCTGTACAGTTCTGTCCGGTTTCACTGCTACTGTTGTAGTTCTGGTAACCTCTCTCTCTCTCTTTCTGTTTTGACTCTTCATTGTGTATTGAGTGAAGGTTTACACAGCATTCAACAAATCATATACTCTGAAAGTTTTACAGTCAACAAATCATACACTCTGTTTCATCTCAATGATTAAAAGCCCCTGAATGCAACATCACTTATCCCACCTCCTCCCTGTGTTTCCATTCTTCCTCCTCTCCTAATCCTTCTGAATTTTGTCCTTGGGTAAGTGATGCCCTTTTAATCTCCAATGGGTGACCATCCTGTGGTGTATGTACCTCCCTGGTGATGGTGTCCATGTTATACCTATTACTTGGGTGAAAACTGAGCCACGAGGGTGAGTGCAGTTCCAGACCTGAAGGGTGACCAAGAGCCATAGTCTCAAGGGTTCCATCAGCCTCTATCTGACTAGCATTCCTCGTCTTTTTTATGATTTTGAGTTTTCGTTTCTCATTTTCTCCCGTTCTGTCCAGGACTGGCTGCCATCTGTTGCTGAGATCTGTTGCAATAACTTACCTGCTTTACTTGCCTCTGCTCTTGCTATGCCTGCTATAAGTTCTGCACATCATAGGTATGGCCTTCTAAAAGCAAAAATTAGATTGTGCCACTCGCCTGCATTTGAGTACCCTTAGACTAAAATCCATGCTTTTCCACATCCTGCAAGGCACCACCTGAGCTGGCCTCAGTTGACTTCTTCCACTGTCTCCTTGCACTCTTTTCCTCCCTACTTATCCACCAGCCAGCCTGTTTCTTCTGTCCCTCAGCTTACCAGGATTGCACTGGCCACTGGGCCTTTGTACTTGATATTCCTTCTGCATGACACTGCTCTTCCCCCACGATTCTTCCGACTGTGTTTAGCTCAAATGTCACCTTAGAGATGCCTTCCCTAATTACTCATTGGAACGTGGGAACTACTGATGTGGTTTGACAGCCTGTAGAGATCCAGGTGAACATGAGATCTGAACTGAAGCCATAACAACAATGGGGATGGAGAAAAAAGGTCAGGTGCCAGGGACCCACTCCCGCTCCCACCCCCTACCAAACTGTCAAGAACTGATTAGGGGAGGGGGACAGCATGAGGTCAAAACCAAACCCACTGCCACTGAGTCAATTCTAACACATAGTGACCCTACAGGACAGAGGAGCATTGTCCTGTGGGGTTTCTGAGACAATAAGTCTCATCTTTCTCCCAAGGAGTGGATGGTGGGTTTGAACTGCTGACCTTGTGGTTTGCAGCCCAGTGCTTAACCCGCTGCATTTCCAGGCATCCTAGTATAAGATGAAGTTTTGACAGTGGATTTGTAGGGTAACTGCAGGTTTTTGGCTTGGGTAACTGAGGATACTATGGTCTCTAACTGGGCTAAGGAGTACCGGAAAAGGAACTAATTTAGAGGGAATAATGGTGAGTGCTGTCCAAAAACAGTGAGTCCATGTCTCAAGTTTTGTTTTTTTCCCTCCATCTTATAGTTAAGAGACCTGAATGAACTGCACATCCTTGGCAGAATAATTCACGACGAGACTCTGTATCAGAGGCAGAATGCAGAGAACAACAAAACTCAGGTAACTCGGAGTCTTCTGGGTAATGCCTCTGAGCCCTGCATCGGCACTCTATTAAGTCTCCTTCCCATGTTTGAGTCTTAACTACGTCTGATCTTGCCTCTGTCTCCATCTGCCCTTGCATCCTTGAGTGAGTCCGATTCTTTTGCCTCCTTTTTTTAAATCTGTAAAGCAAGGCAATTAAATAAGAGGCCTAAGAATAGAAGATCCAGACTGAAGTAACCAACCAGTTGCCCTTCATGTCATGCCCCATGTATGCTAGTGAACTGTGCTCCGTAGAGTTTTCAGTAGCTGATTGTTCAGAAGTAGATTGCCAAGTCTTTCTTCAGAGTTGCTTCTAGGTAGAGTTGAACCATTCACCTTTGAGTTAGCAGCTAGATGTGCTAACCTTTTACACCACCCAGGGATTCTTCTAGCATAGAGTCTCCCAAATTATTTTTCTTACTTTAAATTCAGTCTCGTGATGTGGCGCTGTAGGATCAGTACTGGACTGTTAACCACAAGGGTGGTAGTTCAAACCCACCAGCTACTCCTTGGAAACTATACGGTCTCACTAGGAGTTGGAGCTGACTTGACAGCACTTAAAAACAACAGTATCTGAGTTGGGGCAGTGGTGGTTCCGTGGTAGAATTCTCACCTTCCATATGGGAGACCCAGGTTTGTTTCCTGGCTAGTGCTCTAAATTCGGACTCCTAGCCTCCTTACCTGTGAGAGAATCCATTTCTGTTTGTAATTGGGGGATTTCTATTACAGCAGCGCTGGAGAACAGAGACAGCAGCGATGGCTTCTAGTGAGAGAGTTTATAAAAGTATTCTACACAATACCATTTTGCATTAATATAAGGCCCCTAAGAGAACATCCAGAGTCCTGGTGTGGCACTGGACCAGAAGGTGTATTTGAACACAAGGCGGTGGATCTAACCCACCAGCGGCTCCTTGAGAACCCTATATAGGGTCACTCTGAGTCAGAACTGACTCCACAGCACTTAATAACAACAACAACAGCAGGAGACTCGGCACTGACTCAGCACTAGTGGGCTTGGTTTGATTTAAGAACTGTGGAATCCCCAGGTGGTGTAGACGACTAGCGTGCTCAGCCGCTAATCAAACGGTTTGTGCTTCATATCAGAGATGCCCTGGAGGAAAGACCTGGAGATCTACTTCTGGGAAAAAATACCCCAACGGACAACTATTCTAGTCTGCCACATGTGGAATTGCCATGAGTTGGAATCAACATGCCAGCAACTATTTTTTAAGAGAACATACATGTGATTAGTTCAGTGTAGAGCAGACCTATGCCTTTGTCAGATATCCCATGTGGGAAAATGTCTTTCCAAAGACTAGGGATTTGGGCAAGATCAAAAAAGCTGTCCAAACAGAGTTGGAAAGGACTTAGAGATCATTTAGTACCGGTCATCCTTTGGAAGGTCGTAAGGATATAGAGGACGGTAGTGGCTGAGTTGGCTGGAGAATCTTGATTTTCTGTCCAGTGTTTTACAACCAAGAGACCGCTAGCCCTTGGGGCCCTCTGCCTAACTGTCAGAATCTTTGTCACTATCTGCTGACTCAGCCCTTCTACGTAAGACACCAAAATAGCTGCTTACAAAGGATTTTAATCATTAGGTACCTTTTAGATGCGGCATTGGGAACCTTTTAGCATTTTTGCTATATTGTCATCGGTCTTGATCAATAGAGTGTTTCCAAAATGCTATATAGTCATCAGTCTTGATCAATAGAATGTTTCCAAATCTTCCTATTTTGATTTTTTAGGTCCCTTGTGGAATTTCTTCCCATCTATGTCACCTCATTTATGGGATGCTATGTTGTCTTGTTCTAGATCACTGTCATCTTTCTGAAAGATGAAACGCCTGTCCACTTTTTGCCTGTCATCATCGGGAGCAGTGTTGGTGGCTTTCTGGTTTTGATTGTGATTATTGTCATCCTAGTCAAGGTCAGTTCTACTCGAGTTCATTACAGCCAGGAAGGACTAAGCTGGGCCCAGTTGTTGGGCACAGCGCCACAAATGCAGCCAGCCCTTAGGAACCACTCTGCCCTCTTCCTTTGGTCCCTACCTTCCCTGTCTGAAAAAGACAATAGTTGGGTTGAAATACAGAGAGAGTTTCCTCAAACAGAACTGTCACTGCCCTTATTTAAATCCTTTCCTTGGGCTCCCCTGTCTTGCTGTTCCTCAAGGTCCTCCTTTATCTATCTTCTCCACCCTCTGGTTTTGCTTTGCCATGCAGCCAGAGTTCCTTAAATTAAAAAGGTGAAAATACTCTGGAGTTCAGAAAAGGGTAGGGTTGTGGGGATGGGGGAAGTGAACACTGGAAAGAGTGGTATAGAGGCAGCACTTCAGAAGGGTCTTGAAGGGTCAGGATCAGGTGATGAGTGATTCAGAGAAATGTGTTTCAGGAATCGAGAACCTGTTTTCGAAAGCAGATGGCTCTCTTAGGCCTAAAACTGGATGTCTCCTCCCTTTGTTGTAGTGTGGCTTTTTCAAAAGGAAATATCAGCAATTGAACTTGGAAAGCATGAGGAGGACCCAGCTGAAATCAGAGGATCTGCTCCCAGAAGAAAATTCAGAGCACCTTTTGCACCCTTCGGAGAAAACTGCCCATTGATTCTGGAACTCCTCCTTCAGGCAGCTCTAGAGCAGCAGTCAACAAATTGTATGTAGAAAATTGTTATAAACGAAACGTGGGCTCGGTGTTTCAATAAACTTGGGAAACTTTTGGTTTTAAATAAAGTTAAACTTCCTTTACAGTAATGGTTTTCATGCACTTATATTTTTCTGTTTCCCTTGGTATTTCTATTAGCATTCCCTAAAGTGTAGTGCATTATGAGAAGAAGTACGTCTAAGGTGAGTTCCAGTCTCAGATTGTGAAGGTTCTAAAATGTCACCTATTAGTTCAAATCAGGCCACCAAAAGCACCTCCAAGATAAATAGAAAAAAGATCACCAAACCAAAATCTAGACAGGAGAGGAAAAGACAAGGATTTGCCCTGCACTTTTCATTTCTGTTGTGTGTATGAACATGTCTGTCTGTTAAATACTGAGCTCATCCTTACCTGGCCTCCTGCCTAGTGAATTGCTTCTGGAGACTTTCATTCCTTAGCAAGTCCTGTCATTAGGAAAGAAAACTTGTCAGAGGCAGAGGTGGAACTTGGCCTGGGAGTTGAGGACACAGAGATGTGACCTAGATGCTTTCAGGCAGGATTTGATGGTAGTATTTAGTAAGAACACCCCAAATTCAGTTACTACTCCTGACATGGGATGGGGCTATGCTAGGGTGAGACTAACACTCCATTTCGAGTTGTAAGTAAGCTGCGCATCAGGAATGTAGCTGGTGGTTCCTGTAACTCATCACTTTCTCCTGAGGAAATTACTTGTAAACAATTTCAGAGACTAGTTCTCAGTTGCTTACTTAAAGGCTTTGCTTGCCACTTAGGAACCTAAAACCAAACTCACTGCCATCTCATTGAGTCGGACTCAGCAACCCTGTAGGGTAGAGCAGAACTGCTCCCTTGGGTTTCTGGGACTACATTTTCACAGGTGCAGACAGCCTTCTCTTTCTCCCTCTGATTGGCTGGTGGATTTGAATCGTGGACCTTACAGTTAGCAGCCCAACACTTAGCCCGCTGAGCCAGCCAGGTTCCTATGTTGTTGGTTATTCTGTCAACTTGGTTCTGATTCATAGTGACTTTGTATAGGGTTTCCAAGGGGCGACTGGTGGGTTGAACCACCAGCTTTGTGGTTAGCAGTCCAGTGCTTATCCTACAATGCCGCTCTAGGACTCCCATTACTAGTGTTTTAAAGCAACAGAAATTAGAGGAAAAAGCAACCTCAGGGCTGAAGATAGTGTTTTTTTGTTTTTAGCCCTTTATTAGTAGAGACGAGTTTTAGCCACTGATTATTAGTGGTTACTAGGAGTCCTGGTATGGTACTAGGATAAGCACTAAACTACTAGCCACAAGGCCGGAAGTTCAAATCCACCAGCCACTTCTCAGAAATTCAATACTGTGAATTGGAGATAAGTCTGCTTGACAACATTTAATAGCAAAAACTTTGGTGTGAATTACCTAATGTCTCTTGTAGCCATAGTCTGTAACTCCCACCAAAACAACGTTTCTGCCTTGCTGGGTCTGGTTAAGAGAAGGTGGGAGGAGATACTGATAAGATGACATTCAGCTGTGGATGAAAGCCGAGTTAATTGCAATTGTAAAAACTTGAAACTAGCATGGGTGTAAAATGAACCATCTGAGAAACAGGAGCTGGGGATCTCACTGCCATCAAAGAGAAAGAACCAGAAGTGAGCATGTGTGGTCTGCAAGGTCCCTGTGCATTGAACCTCCCTGACCCGGGAACAGGAAACTGTGATCTTGGAGGAGTGACAGAAGAGGAGCAGGAGCAGCAGAACCAAGAACCGGAGCATGAGACAGAGCAGCAGACTTCCCAGCCCCGGGAGCAGGTAAAGCTGAGTGGCTTTGGGCAGGGAGCTTGCTGTAGAGCGGGTGCCTCCATGCCCTTAGAACCCAGTGCCTTCAGGCTGAGGTTTGTGGTGGAGTGGTGAGTCCTGTGGGCAGTTATCAGTGACTGCCTGGAACAACTGTGCCCTGAGCCTGTATTGTAACCTGGCAACTTCCCTAACAAACCCCATAGCTGTGAGTATTGTTGTTGAGATCCGTGTGACCATTGCAGTGAATTGTTGAGCCCAGTGGAACAGAGAGGGTTGTGGGAGGAATGAATGGCTGCTGCCACACATTTGTTACAACAACAACAGGTGGAAATCGAGGGGAAGAGAAACAAAACCAAAACTAACTTGATGCCATCTCCTTATTCCCAACACCTTTAATGGCACTGACTTTGTTTTTGCGGATTATAAAAGTTACTTCAGAAGTCCAGAATGTAGAAGGTAATCCTAGTGATTACTTTTACACATAATTTGATGCTTTATCTCTTTCCTTTAGATTTTATCATTTATACATAAAGGCGTCCTGGTGTGGTGCCGTGGGTTAATTCACTTGACTGCAAAGTCAGGTTGAAGCACAAGATCAGCTTTATGGATCAGAATCGACTTGATGGCACTTAACAATATATATAAAGTTTTTGTAAATTTTAAGGAACTTAACCTGATTTTTTCCCCCAGATACATAATTTTCATGATACCTTTTATTGAAAGGCAACCTTTGCTTACCTATGCCTTTCCTGTCTCACAGAGGTTGGAGGCTTTAAACAGCTCCTGGACTCCCTTGCAGTTTCTAGGTTAGATTTTGCCGGTGAGAGGCTCTGACTTGGAATTAGAAGGTGGGAGTCCTTTTCAGCCCTGTGACAGATTTGCAACTTAATTGCCTGTGTTAGATTTCATTCTGCTTGGAATAATTAGAGCAGTTTCCATTTTCTTGACTTGTCTTGAATCTCTGTTATTTCCAGATGAATAACAGTTGTTTACTGAAATGCCTACTGATTTGAAATTCTACCAATACCATATACAGAAGAATTCACATGTTTTATGTGTCATATATATCATATATGTTGCTGTTAGGTGCAGTCAAGTGGGTTCTGACTCAGTGACTCTGCCCGGTCCTGCCCCCTCCTCACAGTTATTACACTCGAGCCCATTGCTGTTGTCACTGTCGGTCCATCTCATTGGGCTCTTCCTCTCCTTCGTTGACCGTCCACTTTACCAAGCATGATGTCCTTTTCCTGATAATATGTCCAAAGTATGAGAGACAAAGTCTCACCATCTTGGTTTCTAAGGAGCATTCTGGCTGTACTACTTCCAACAGGTTTGTTTATTCTAGTAGTCCATAGTATTTTTAATATTCTTCCCCAACGCTATAATTCAAATGCATTGATTCTTCTCCGGTCTTCCTTATGCATTGTCCAGCTTACACATTCATATGAGGCAACTGAAAACACCACGGCTTCATTCCGGTACACTTTAGTCCTTTTCCAATTGACTGGCCAGGCAGCTTCTTTCACATTTGGCCTAGATGAGTGAGTGCCTCCCGTGCTGCATCAGTTTGTTGAAAGATTTCCATTTGTATTCTGTCAATTCCTAGAGGCTTATTTTTTTGTCAGTGTCTTCAGTGAGCCTTGGACTTCTTCCTTCAGTACAATTGGTTCTTAATCAGATGCTACCTCTTGAACTTTGACCATTTCTTTTTGGTGCAGTGACTGTATTCCTTCCATCTTATAATTTTGATGCTTTCTGCATCATTCAATATTTTGTCAATCATCGTAATAGTTAAGTGCTATCAAGTTTGTTCCGATTCATAGTGACCCTGTATAGGGTTTTCAAGGAGCATTTGGTGAGCTTGAACTGCCAACCTAGAGGTTCAAACCAACTTTGCATTAACTCACAGCGCCACACCAGGACTCCATAGAATCCTTCAATATGGGAAGTTAAGGCTTGAATTTTTTCTTCAGTTCTTTCAGCTTGAGAAATGCTGGACGTGTTCTTCCCTTTTTGCTTTCTAACTCCAGGTCTTACACGTTTCATTATAATACTTTGTCTTCTTGAGCTGCCCTTTGGAATGTTCTGTTCAGCTATTTTGTCCCCTGATTTCTTTAGCTTCTCTTTGCTTAAGAGCAAGTTTCAGAGTTTCTTCTGACATCCATTTTGGTCTTTTCTGTTTTCCTGTCTTTTTAAATGATCTTTTGCTTTCTTCGTGGATGGTGTTCTTGTGTCATCCCACAACTCCTTTGGTCTTTGGTCTTTGTCTAATGCATTAAATCTGTTCTTGAGATGGTCTCTAAATTAACGTAGGTAGGATATATTCAGGATTATATTTTGGCTCTTTTGGACTTGTTTTAGTTTTCTTCAGCTTCAGCCTGCACTTGCACATAAGCAGTTGATGGTCTGTTCTGTAGTCTGCCCCTGGGCTTGTTTTAGCTGATGAAGAGCTTTAACACTGTCTCTTCCCACAGATGTAGTCAATTTGATTCCTGTGTAGTCCATCTGGTTGACGTCCATGTGTATGTTTTATGCTGTTTAAAAAAAGATATTTGCAGTGAATAAGTCGTTGGTCTTACAGAATTCTATCATGTGATCTCCAGCATCATTTCTATCACCAAGGTCCTATTTTCCAGCTACTGACTCTTCTTGTTTCCAACCTTCACATTGCAGTCACCAGTAATTATCAATGTATCTTGATGACATGTTTGACCAACTTCAGACTGAAGAAGTCAATAGAATGCTTCACTTTTGTCATCACTGGTTTCTAGTGGTTGATTCATAAATTTAAATAATAGTGGTATTTTAACTGGTCTTCCTTGTAGGCATATGGATATTATCCTATGACAGACAGCATTGTAGTTCAAGATAGATCTTGAAATGTTGTTTTTGACACTGAATGTAACACTATTCCTCTTCAACTTGTCATTCCAGCTTAGTAAACCCATCTGATTATCTGATTCAAAATGGCCAGTACCAGTCTCAGTTCACAAATGCCTAGACTAATGATCTGTATGTGGTCCAGTCCATTTTTGACAAGTTCCAGTTTTCCTAGATTCGTATTTTATACATTCCATGCTGTGATTATTAACGGATGCTTGCAGCAGTTTCTCTGCATTTTGAGTTGTGTCCCATAATTTGGACCTTTATTTGGTCCTGAAGGCT